GGGGGGGGGGGGGCGCGGAAGCTGGAAGCATTTCAAGTTCTGTCTCATTTCAGACCATTTCCACTAAACAGTACTAAAACTGTCTTAGAGTTCAGAACAGATTAGGGCTACCTGAGCACCTGGTCAGTAAAGCAAAATACTTCAGGATCACAGCAAGTTTCATTCATGCAGTAACCCAAACCCTGATGTGCTGTCAGTCCTTTCAAGTCATTGCCCTTCCTTCATTGCATCAAAAGCAAAGCATCTCTTAAAAATTCCTCTGAAAGGCCTGAACAAGTGTCTAAACTTCCAAGATCTAGTCTCTATAGCCTTGAGCAAGAGTGACAGGAAATAAACTTTTCTCCTCAATGGCTGCTTCTAAGGGGTTTTTTTTTAATTTAAAAAAAAAAAAGGGGGGGGGGGCAGCAATCGGTCAATCAATACTAGACCTATTACAAATTCAGAACTGCAGATGAGGAAACAGGGAAGAAGGGGAAGGCAATGGAAAGAAGAAGAGGAGGCTTGATTTTCAGACAATCAACTTGAAAAATCCTTACTTCAGTGGCCTGGTAAATAAGCAATTTTAGACGTTTTAAGGCATCTCGCATTACCTTCTGAAACATAACCAAGCTAAAGGGATAAGGGTTAATTATATCCCTTATGCTCCAGAGTATTTCATCAGGCTATGCATTATGTTCCTCTGAAGGGCAAGCTGTTCTTTTATTTTGTGTTTATGTTTGTGTTTTAAACAATAAGTGTCCAGCACTAACCTGGCGATTAACAGAGAAAAAACAGAGAAATACAAGGCTGCAGGCTTTCCACTACTATAAAGCATTTAAACCTATTCTGTTTCTCTGACATTTTTTCTCCCCTTGCTCTTCTCTGATACAGATCACAAAAACAACTAAGACATCTGACATACAGGAGAACATCCTGCTGATTAAGAAAAAACAAGAGCACATTACTCTTGAGAGGATACAAAGCACCACTTCCTAATGCATTCTACTTTGTCAGCACAACAGGCTTCTTGTTATTTCAAAGGGAAACTGGTCATATTGATTTTTCCAGAACATAAGTATTATAAAAATATTATGCATTTAATTGGTTTAACAAAGTGTTTTTGTACTGGGACATATCAACACAGACCTACAAGACAAGGTATAAGGTATCAAGGTGTGGCATTAAGTACTTGAAGATTCTCTGCCAGCAACAGCTTTACGAACTGCCATGATCATTCCTAATAAAGCTTTCTTGCAGCTTCTATAACCCTCAGCAAACGATCTGTCTTTTAAGCATGGCAGCTCTTACTTCTGAATTCACAACACCCTGAAGGAACATCATACTTCTCTGAAAACTAGTGTCCCTTCCAGACTTCACCAAATTTTCACCATGCAACCCAGTGCTCCATGTTTGCTCAACTTTTTTAGAGGAAAGTTCTTTACACCCTCTCAGAGCAATTTATTTCTCTGGTTGTTCCGTTGCAAAAGCCAGACCAACTGAATCAGCTTTTCTGAATGCGAAAACCACACACCTAGCCTGTCAAAAAGCCTGGTAGATTTTTTTACTGTTTGGTTTATAAATTTGAAAACCAAGATGCTGTCAGAGAGTAAGATCAATCATCTCTTCCCCCACCTCTTCTCAGTTTTTCCCAGTGTTGCCATACATAGGATAGTAGAAAGCTTGTACACACTTCCCAAGGAAAAACTGTATTTCTCCTTCTAGTTCTTTATTTCTGTTTTAACACTTCGTATCAGAGTGTACATCCATGACAAGTTTCAACAGTTCAAAGACCATCTGAATAGTCATAGACAGAACACAGATTGTTATTTTGCCTTCTAAAATGCCACTTTAGAGAAATTCTTTACATTCAGAATTTTGAGAGGGATGCAATAAACAGAGAAGGGACAGCCTTACCTCCCACCTCCTCTTATTCCTCCAGGGAACTAAACTAAGTTTTCTCTTCCCAAAGTGATATTTCCAAGACTTCTTTACAGCTTGCTTCCAAATATAACTCAAAACAGTATATATCCTCCCTTTAATTTCTTCCAACAAATCTCTTTTCAGCAGAATTTACTCTCACATATGCAATGTGGGCAGAGTCTAGTAATGTAACTTAATAGTTCCTACCAAAAAGGTTTGCTAACCTAAGTTCTAGGAAGGGAAAAAAAGAATTATATCTTACTTGCACATGTTACTCCAATGCTTCTAATTAGTATCTGTCAAAAGAGCATTAATCCCACTTAATCAGAACAGAACAAAGCTGCAGAATGACAAGATCAAGGATTCATCAAAAGATAATCGCAAACAATAACCCAGATATGCAAGATTTTCTCCATCATGCAACACTGCTGTCCCTACATCCAATTCTCTCAGTGTGTAGTCTGACATTCATTCTGCATCCATGCTGCAAAAGAGCAGGAGACTTTCACATTAAGCAGTACCCAGGAGCAAAGGGATTTCAAGATAAAATCTTCTGAGCTAAGTGTCTGAAACACAGGTCAATCAGAAGAGATCTCCAGTACTGAGGCAACTCATGAAAAATTTAATCTTAAACTATCAGTAGCCACTTAAGAAAACTTCTCCCAACTTGCTGAGGAGCGTATTTTAGTGCCCAGATTCTCATTACTTCTAGGTAACTCAGCTAGCCAGACCATCACACTTTCTTCAAAGCCTCCCATCTCAGACACACACCTGTTCTCACTATAGACATTTTTGTACTAACACCCAGGGCAGCATTGAATTACTTCAGATAGAGTCACTTCCACATTCCACCCTCAAACTCCCCTCTGAGAAGTCATCAGTCACTCTCAGCTTTCACACTTCAGTAATTTTGGAATCAACAGGAAATGGAGATCAATTGTGATTTTACTAACTCAATAATGACTCATCACTCAACTCCCCATAGCCTTCAAATTCATCTGTGAAGAGACAGGATAGCGAGGCCAAATTAAAAATAGTAAATCTGGCGCACACACACAATTAACACGCACTTGTCCATCAGATTTGCCACGGGCTGTGACACATTTGGGCATCTTGAGAGATGTCACCACATTATGACCAACTTTCTTACCTCCCCGTCAGATTTCAAATGCGGGTACAATTTGGCTTTTCTTACCTTAACCAGGGAGAATAATCAATAAATAAAATGTATTATATAAACCCACTGTACCACATTCTATAACATCCATCACTCATTTTGAACATGCCTAAATAAGAGTTAACTCTGCCTACCAGTGCCCCTAACCAGTGGCAACAAATCATCTTTATATCATGAGAATACTCTCAAATCATTAATTTTTCTGCTTACATAACCTCCAAGCCAAAAAAAAATTGCATGAAATTAAAAGTCAATAAAAACAATTATTTCATTTACAAAAATAGAAAAGCATTTTAAATAAACCACTTCACTGCATTCTTCTAAAAATAAACTTAATTACAAATCTAACATGAAATTATAACAGCATATATTAGGGCAAATGCCTACTGTAATTTAAATAAAATAAAAATAGTAAGCATATAATTTACACAAAAAAGTTTGGACTGGTGAATTTACTGTTCAGTGCTCTCCTGGAGCCACCCTTTGTTGAAATGCTAAGATAGTTTTCACATTCTATAGCTACTTCTGCAAGTGCTTCATTTCCGTTTACTCAAACAGTTCAGTTCAACAAGCACTTAATCCCAATTTTAAAAGGACTCCTGCATAGAAACCTGTGAAGTAGTCCAGTGGGCATGATCTATTAGCTCTAAACTTCTGAAAAACAATGACAAACCATTTTTTTTCTGTTGATGTTGCTTTAAATCATGCCTGTCCATCATACTTGAAGTTATAATTCTCAAAATTCAGATTTTCTGCATTTCAGTTAAAATTCCATTTTCCATCCAAATAAAAAAGTAACACAAATGAGAAGTAATCTACGAGGAAATACATCATTTGCTATCTTGTCACTTAAAAATGTGAAAATTAAGGATCTGAGTAAGTGTATCCAAGGCATCTAATCATTTACATGAATGTGTAGAAATAGCAAATGCTATTTGCTAGCAAAAAAGCCTGTACTTTCCAAAAAGGCTGTATTTGCTAATCAAGGTGTTCTAACAGCTGTCAGCCAATGAAAAAAAAATCCAGCTAAAAATATGCAAAATGATATTAAAACTGTGTATTTCAAGCAATCTATTCCTGCTTGCTGTTTTAAATCACTATGAAAATCACTTCATCTCAATTTAAAAAAAAAAAAATTATACACTAGTAATGCTCTGAGGCCTTCATACTAAAGAATAAACTCAAAGGATAAATCGGACCAAAATTCACGATATTTCCCCCAGAAGGTTACGAAACTATACAGAGTGGTAGTGCCCAATAGAAGCATCAGAATTGTTAATTCTGTAAAACTACCACATTCATCAAGCACTCAATCCGCAGCTTTCGCTGAAGCATGTATTTGCTAAACAAACCCTCCATATTTCAACAAAAATAATTCAGCTACTTGGAGAAGACGGCTGGATGGTCACACACCAACCCTCATGTTCAGATTCGCAGCCATTTCAGTAAGAAGCCCCTGCCTTCAGCAGCTGCCTCTTGCTGGCTGCAATGCTGCACCTCAGAGCTGATGCAGAAACACTTCATCCACATACCAAATGCTCCCTAACCTGGAGAAAGTATTTCCCCTTCCAGTCCCAAAGCCCTGTGTGATGCACACCTAAGTCACCGAAACCCACCTTCCGTGGTACAGACATGAAAAGCAGGGAGTACTGCTCGTTGGAGAACTGTGCTAAAGCAACCGTTTGTTTTGCTTTGCCATCACCCTGTCCTCAACCACACAATTCCATCCCCTCAGGCTTCCATCACGACCTTCCATGAGCCGGTTTAACTCGCTAGTTAAATCAGCTGAAAGGAAAAGGAACTCTTCCACCATCTGCACATCTCCGCAGTTACAACTGCGCACAACTTCCCACAGACCCACATCCTAAAACTACATTTATCGCTTTCTGGGCACCAGTCTCAACACCAACAAAGCCAGACTTGCAGACATGCTCTTCTTCAACCAAGACATCAAGGAGCCACATAGCAACCACGCGACACCATCGACAGGTTGAGTACTGCTGGAGAGGGAGAACAGAGGGGGATATACCCAATCAGGGTATGCAGACATCTTAAATGGAGCATTCCTCCCTCCCCCTGCAAAAAAATCAGTGGACATGACTATATCCTCAGCTCCTCTGCTCTTCACTTCTTCCTCACTTGTTTCCCCCAATCAAACGGAATTCACATCACTTCATCTTACCAGATCTGGGGGAAGCTGCCAGGGTGTTAAAGACGAACTCGAGGCATGAGACACTATGAGCAGTGACAGTCATCCTGAGGTCAGCACAGTATTTTGATACCACAGTAAACAAGGCCTGTGGCCACACATGCAATAAGCAAGAAACACTAAATAGCTGCACACTTCTGTGAGCAGATGCTCCTGGAGAATGAGGAGAAGTCCGCTCCTGGAGAACGAGGAGAAGTCCTATGGAATGAATAGGCAGCCTCACAGCACATACTTGCAGGGAGGCCAAACCATGCTCAAAGCACCTCAACTTTTGTTTCATTCTAACTGCATGTGACACCAGGTGATCTCTACAGTCGCCTGTGAAGATCTGGAGTTTATCTTTAGTGTAATATACTATCTCCTTATGAGCCAGCTGATTCCAACACCCCCATCCTCATACTTCTGCTGCTTCAAATGCCTGACAATGCACAGCTTCCCAGCGAAAGTGCCATCACCTGGATGACAAAGCCACTTGAGCATCTGATGTCATGTCAGTGTTCTAAAAACGAAGCCCTCTAACCACCCCTAAAAGATAGCATTTCTCTGTATTTTACAAATGGGGAGGGAAATACAAACACCCGGAGGAGGAATACAATTTCTTCCAAACCCTTGCATACTGTCAGCTTCTGAAGCACGAGATGTGATCACTCCCTATTTTAGCATGCATGACTACCAATGCTGTTGCTCACAAAAATTATCTGGTCCCTTTTTAAAATCCAGTTACAGTATTCAACTTCAGGCTTTTCTACCCAAGTAGTGGATGGCTAGAGGTAAATGCATTGATAAGAACATCTTGCTAAGCTTTATTTACTGTTCATAAAAAAGACCCTTGCTCTCAATTTATACTTGTCAAATCAGTTCTTAAACAAAACCAAATCCAGAAAGAAAAACAAATGTGAACACAACTGTGTGGCATTACGATACAACATCCGATTCCTGCATTCCAATTCCCTCACTCTAGAACACTGCAATGTATTGAAGACAAATTTAAAAATAAAGTCACTGATATCAACTACAAAAACACCAAGAAAATCCTCAGACAATGTTGGCTTAGCCAGTGCAATGTGTAATTCTTGTCTTCATACTATCACTTTCTTTCATGAAAAATACTGGAAATATCATTTTGCCAGGTTAACCAACTCTGACTTCAATCTTGCTGACATTTCTTAAGTGTAGCTGAATAATTCCATTCATATGCAAATTGTACAATAAGCCGTGAGTAGCAGCACTTGCAGAGACTCCCTCACAGAAATGAGCATTTACTCTGCCCAAGTCTAATCAGAGTGACGTATCTAAAATGAAACCAGGCCCAAAAGGTAGAGCCCCAACAATTTACAGAAGCCTTGGTGCTGTTTAATTTTACTTTATGGGGTATGTTTAAATATTAAAGAGATGAAAGAATTGAGAACCGAGATTGCATCTGTTGTCATCACAATTTAACCACAGTCCATGTATTTATACAGTGGAATCTCCAAAATAACACTGCATCTGTTAAGATGACAGTGTTTTTCCATGGGCTGTGCTGTGTTATAGCCGAGTTACTCCAAAGCTATTGCTTTTGAAGTGCTGATTGGGATCCACCCCAAATTCTTTTTGTAATCTTCCTCAAATGTGTTGAATTGTAAAGCTGTTGTTTCTCAGTATGGCTTGGGAACAACAAAACCCTAACACATCTCATCAGTGGGCATTTGGCACTAAAGCCTTACAGCTAATGCAACATGTTTCTTTAAACAATGAACTACCGAGAGATACACAAAACACCAACCACGTAAAAACAGATGTCCTTTTCACACGTGTTTCTGCTGAAGTCCAGAACCACTGACACACACACACATACACTCAAATGCACTTCTCTGTCTGTGCCTTACTTCTGTAGGATAACAACTGAACCAACTTGAAAGGACCTTTGTTCATTCACTGGTAACACTGGCCACATTTTAGAACCACAACCCATAGAAGCATATGTAAGCTTGAATTTTAAAAGGGACTCTCATAACCTAATTTAAGTATTAAATACATATTACATCCCTCTTGTTAAGACTCAGTATCAACAAAAATATTTGTCCATGTAGTCAGCCTACTCGAATGTGACAAAAATACAAACATTTTATTAGCACACAAACAAAGGAAGCAAACAAACATACAACCAAGAATGTCCAGTCACTCCCAGATAGGACCCAGGCAAGCTCAAGTCACAGCCTCAAACCAAGCCAAGTGTCAAGTTTGGAACAATAAAGATGCTTTTCTTAAACCCCATTTCTGCTCTTTTGCACAGACTCAACCTCCATCATGGGAGTAGCCACTGGAAGAGCTGCAAGGAAAGATCAGCATTAATTATTAAAACTTCTGGTATCCTTCTCCACACACAAATGGTCATACGTCTTACTGGTTTGCAACTTTCCTTCTGCCAGTCCTAGTACCTCTCAGGTCCAATGAAGAGGAACAAAGTACACACAGTAACAGTAAGTTATACGCATCTCAACACAGCTGGATGTTTATTCCCTCCACACTTCGCAGGAGATGTGGTGTTTGCAAGGGGCCAATAAAATGTACATCCATCTCAAAAAAACAAAACTAAACTTTAGCCACAATAAACTGAAAGATGTTAACTGCAATCAATAGAGAACCACAAACTGCTTCCACCTGCTGGGGATGCAGACCCACTGGAGAGAAGCAGCAGCTAAAAATCCCATGGTGGCAGCCAGGCACCATGGCAATTCCAGTGGGATCCCCACTCTAACCCAGTGAGTCTGTGAACTCTTAACACAGTTTGTGCCATCATCATGTAGTGTCTCTCAGCACTGGTTCTCAGTTAAAAGAAAAGTAGAGCCACCTGAAAACTTAATGAGAACAATCCACACCATTTAACTCCATTGGTATTTTGGAGAACAAACCAAACCCCCAGTGGGATACATGAAATTTGACTGAAGATGACAACAGTAACAATTTAACTACACATCGGAAGCCCCAAGAGAAAGTATCAAAAACACAGCAATGAAAGTAATTTCTGCCCTGGCAAAAAGCACAGGGAATAGGACAAACAAGGTATTTCCATTGTAATTTCACCTCTTAACACTACAGCCAAATGTTACTCTTAATATCAGCTGAGCATTGCAGACACATATGTGTTCCAACAGTGCAGTGCCAGTGCCTTTACTTCTTCTGAGAGGTATCTGCAATGTGCTTTCAAGCCTTTCAAGGTACATACTACTCTCACACAGAGGGACCCAAGAGGATGTAACAAGAGAGGCAGAGAAGCTAAACAAGCTATGTGTAGAAGGGCAAAATGTGGCGATTACTCTAAACTGAAGGCAATGCAAAGAATGAGGAAACCACCCCAAGACTTTTCTCCAAAATGCTGTACTCATTTGATTAGGACTTAAGATTTGAATTAACAATCTCTGTAAGACCTTCCACTTTCAAAAAAACTTCTGATTATTTTTGAGGACTGCTCCATCATGGCATTTTAGGGTTTCTTCTACACTATAAACTACTTCGGGAACTTGCTTCTCAAATACAGTGTCTACAAAATCAGGAAAACCAGCACTGTGCCCTTTTCTATTTGGGGAAACTAGTTTTGCACCCAAGATATCTGGAATTCTCCTTCCCTATCTGTAACCATTCCCAAAGACAACAGATAAGCTCTTGCAAAGTTCTCCTGTGCAAACATATCAGGAAGACTTCTCAAGCTGAGTACCATGATCCGTAAGCAAACCAGATATAGTATCCCACTGAGTATAATGGAGACCCTCCTAGCACCTTGCTAAAACACCTCTTACAAAACCACGGCAACGCTACCAAAAAAAGGAAATAGAAGACTATGATGCTATCCTAAACTTAACCAACACACAGCTACTGGCAGACTCTTTCAACTGCTGTGCTTACACAAGTTTCATCCCATAAATACTTTCCACGTTTCAGCAGAAATGTGTACATAACTAAATACAAAGTGAGGACCTTAGACCTCCCTGCCACTTCATCTCATCTGTCTTGCATAAGAACTGCCACTATAACACTGTTTAAAGATAATGATGTGCTCCGTACTTGAGAATCACACATTCAGCTGCAGCTACCTACTGTATTCCAGTAGTAACAAATGGAAGAGATACTTCAAAGAGCACATTATCCCAGCTCTAATTTATGCATGCTCCCTCTCACCATCAAGCCATTTATTTTAAACCTGTCAGATATACTTGTAATGTAGCATCATGAATAATTTAAAAAGTAATCTGTATAAACCAAGTTTATAAACTTAACAGCAGGTACAGTACCTTTCATTCAAGCAGACTGCTCTCTGATAAAGTACAAGGGATCTTTGACTACTTCAGCATGTATTCATTTCATGCATTCTGAACTTCAAAAAATTCTTCTTTCCTGCCTCCAATCAAACCCTCCGCTTGTAAGTAGCTAACTTAAATGAGTAGTGTACCAATTTGTGAACTCTCCATACTGAAGGAAAAGAACTACAAAGATTCTGGAAACAATCATTAAAAATGACCCACCACCCATTCAACAGCAGGAAAAAAACCCACACATTTAAAGTTTGCCTCAAGCATTAAGAATTCTAATATTCTCTCCATTTGCCTAATGTTGTCACATTCTCCCACTGCTCCCCTCCACAGGGAGAAAGGATGTTCAGTAAAAAAACTCCCAAAAAAGCCCACCTGTTAAGAGAAAGTGTTTTGATCAGAGTTGATGCTCACACTTCCAAGTAAACAGAGCTATCTTTACAGCATGTAATGGCACCAATAAGAGGTTTGCAGATAACACTCACCCCGACTGGTCACAGAG